TTCGGGCGATGACTCGCTTCGGGTGACGGACCTGTACCGTCTAGCAGGTGTCTTTGTTAGACTTATAGAGAAACAACACAAGGGCGGAGAAGTCTTGTAACAAGCAAGAAAAAAAAAAAACAAACGAAAAAGACAAAAAAAAAGAACAAAAAGAACAGGAACGAGTACAGTAGCACGTCAAGTGGGAGTACGCGACCTCTTCCTCGACAGGAGGGGACTCACTGAGACTGTACAGGGTTTGTATCCCCTCCGGAATAGGAAGGGCAGAGGCCGTCTACATGTTGTGGACACTCCCGGACGTCCAGGAGTTGGCTCGGAAAGGAGTGTGTATGCTAGCACGTGTATAGCCGAAGCGACAGAGTACCGCCTTCCTGCCGGTCGGTCACACAAAATGTAAATTGATGTCTGTTGAGTTACATAGTTACATCACTTAAATGTTAGTAGCTATAAACTTCACTGGATTATAAGTGAATGTTTAAGTAACTCTTTGGAGTGAACCAATATTAGAAAAAATCAGAGAAAAAACGAGTGTTTTAAGAGGAACGTCACATTTATTCGTGATGGATTCGTTTGCTGTTTGTTATTTGTGGTAGGAGCTAGTTAATAGTATTTGTAGAACACTCTTTAGGCCTAAAGTGAGTGCTATATGGTCGCATGAGGTGGGATCGTGTATTTCAGGGGTACCAACAGCGAACCTGCGACATATCCGTCGCCTCTACCCTGAGAATCTGTCCCAGAAGTGAGCGCTACGATGTCGTGTCTACCGGAGTCAATCCTCCACCGGCAGGAACGGAGTGTCGCTCACTCCAGTGACCGGACTGAGATAGTTGGACGTGGTGATCGTGCGTATAATCATCGTGTGATAGTTATCCATCTGGTATCTCTAATAAGGTAAGTTTAGTATATTCGGAAGAGGCTACTCTCTAGATTACCACTCGGCACAGGGTGTAACGTTGTTTTAATACTCGAGCGCTGTAACTCGATCTTGAGGACAGTAGGCAAGCTGAAATGATATCCTTTTTATCGTGCTGTACAAGGAGGGAACGCTCTAACGCTCAAAATGTCTATGTCGCTTTCTCTTTTTAGACAGGATTGACTGAGCGTCTACTTCCCTTAATTGATTGGTAACATTAGACGAGGCAAATCCAGGATTTTTTTACGCCGAACAGTATCGTTAAGTAGTTGTAGACTCATTATATCAACTTGACTTTTTGATTTGACTTTGTTTTTGTCTGTTGCGGGATTGGTTTGTTTTTGTGAGGATTTGTCGAATTATCTTTGTCGATGTCTCCTTGATCTGCATCACTTTTGACGGAGATCGAAGATCATCTTTGTATTAATTACATTTGAGTCGTGGTGTCAGGGGAATGACGAGACACGCGTTTGGGGCTGTAGGGTCGCTGGTTCAAGTCCCCGATCAGACCTAAATATGGAGCGTGGACTGCTACTTGGAGAGGTCCCAGTTCACCTCCTGCCGTGGTGCCCTTGGGCAAGGCACCGGACTGGATAAAGTGTTTAATAACCTAATTATAAACCCTTAATGAATCCTTCATTAGGGTAGTCTTATTGTAAAGTGGTACCCAAAAATCATAATAGTTAAATTATAAAATGA